TTCCCCCCCCCCCCCCCCCCCACTGCAGGTGGTGGAGGAAGAGGTGATGTGGGGGGCAGTAATGGGGCAGGCAGTGGGAGACAAGCAGTGGGGGAGGCAGTAGGAGGGAAATGTGATAGGGCAGGTGGGGGGCATAATGGGACAGGCGTTGGGGGCAGGTGGTAGAGGGCAGCCAGTGTGGAGGCAGTGAGGGGGGCAGGAAGCTTGCCTTTACTGTCTGTACGCTCCCCCCACCACTTACCTCCCATTGTGCCTGTCCCTCCCTCCACAGCCTCAGGCTGCCCCAGTTTCCCTCTTCCCCTCTTTCCTTCTCCTCCTCCTCCCCACTCCTCACTGCTTCTGCAACTCACAGCCTCAGGTCCTCACCCCTCTGGTGAAATTGATATTTATCAACATTTACCAACAAAAATCAAATCCTACCAAGCATATCTGTAACTTATTGAATTGTCTTCTATTTCAGAGGATGCCTGGATCCTTTTTTTATTAAAATGACTTGATTATTTACTTTGATGAGAAAAAGGTCTTTTCTCTGATGGTGACAGTGGTGGCTTGGGATTAGCTTAATAAACTGCTATTGTGTTTTGATTGGTCCCTGGGGTTCTGCACCCAAAGACTTCACTTTAACACAGCATCAGCAGCCAGATGGAGGCATAATCCTTAGAACAATGAACTATTTAGAAAAGGCATAATGTATTGACCTATTATTATATAAGGCACGGAAATCTGAATCTGAAAGCCCAATCCACTGAACCCCATCTGTTATGACTATTTGGGCTGCCTTTTATGTTAGCAAAGGGTGTAGTGCTTTTTAAAACCTGCCAGATTATTTCACTCTTTTCTGTCTGTGCTGAAATTAATAGGAAGACCCTGAGGGGACTTGAAACAGGACTGACTGAATGTGGATCTTGTTTCATCATAAAAGATAATTTTAACAAAACCGTGAGAACGTCAGGCTCACTTTTAAATTCTTAATGATCTGTATTATTCATGACTTTCTTTTTCATGTATTTATATATGCTCTTAGGGACAAGGAGATCTGCTGAAAAATGCCAAGAATGAAGCCATAGAGAACATGAAACAAATCCAGCTGGCATGCTTGTCATGTGGACTGAGCAAAACTGGAAGTGGGAACATGGATCCAAAATCAAAACGATCCCTTGAGGCAATACAGGAGAAGGATACTGGAGATGAGAATGGGAGGCTGTGAGAGAAAGCAGCATTGTCATATTTGTCATATATTTCAATAACTCTAAACTATTTTTTTAAAGTATTTAAAAATTCACACAGTAATGCCCTCTTGCAGGGTGTTAGAAGTATTAAAATCCTCACAATGTCAGTATTTTAATGCAGTTAATTTATCTAAGTTAACTCTTTTAGTAGTTGAATTTCTAATAAATTTGAGCTGCCTGTGCGTGCGTGCGTGTCAGCATGTGTGGAATCTTAGAAAACATCCTTCATGAGTGACATTGTCTCTTTACTAATTTATTCTTGTGTCATCTTTGAACAGACGTTAATTCTGAAGATCAAAACAAATAGGGAGAATGTGTACCAGTTTTATGCTTCATTTTCCTGTCCTGTTTTTGTCTTTTAATTTACAACTTATAATATGTTGTGCTGTTTAAACTAAAAAAAACAATTCACCAACAACCATTTTTGTGAGGGTAGAAATAGTGGGTTGCTATAAACTCGCAGCATAATTTTAATGAACAATTAAAATAAGTAAATGAAATATTAAACAGTTTCTGGATAGATCATAATTAGATTTCAGATGGACAGTTCACTGAATTTTAGTTAGTCGCTCTTTGGCATACATTCAGCAAATATAAGAAATAGCTAAGTCCTTTCATTCAAGAAGGTCGTTGCTGCATTTTAGCTCTGCAGAAAAGCTACAACCTTAGCTGAAGTGCATTTATCTTACATGGTAATAAACACAGCTGTTCAGGCCTCTTATATGAAGTGATGGTTGTGATTATGATAATACAATATGAAGGTGATCTTCAGTAATTTTGAAGTGCTCATCAGTGTCAGTATTTGAAGGAAAGTAATATAGACTTCATAAACTGTGAGTGAGCTTCACATGAAGTTTAGAAAATGGGTCAATTTTTGCTTGTCTTAGTAATCCCATTTAAGTCAGGTGAGCAAAGCAAGCAGGCCTTGACCTTTTTTCCCCATTTTTAAGAAGCATGCTGTCCTGGAAATTCAGAGTAAAACTGCAGAATTGCTAAAGATATAGCTAGAGAAATAGCTTGGAAAAAAAAAGAATACCAGTATTCTTGTGCAGTAGTTTTAAATGTTCACAACACGCATCAAATCCTTATAATAATTTTGGAAATTAGATGATGCCATTATGCTATTGTGCACAGGCAATGCAGGACAACAAGGCAATGAATCCTCACTCCATCATCCTTATCAGGTCCAGCTCTTTTATTCTGATGATGCTCATTTCAATCTTTTAAGGGCTGTGCTTGAGTGTAGTAGTTGTGTTACTTCTTACAGAACTAAGTGTTCTACAATTATGAAAGACTATTTATTTAAAGCATTGCTTTTATTTTGAAAAGCTACTTTTTAAATTGATTTGATTAACAAATATGCTAATTTTCTGAACTTAACAAAAGGTAATTGTTGAAAGTTTGACCATCTGAAATCTTATATAGCTACTGTGTTAAGTTATTTTTGACTTCTTAATAACACTATTATGTTCATGTTGCACATTACTGAGAGTAAAGCTATGAAACAACTTTGATCCATGTTTTTAAAATGCTTGTACAGGAAAGGCAAACACTGACAACTTTGGGTATAGGAAAAAGGTTCTCTTCTGTCACACAGTTCCATATTCAAAAGGATATAACTCAGTTGCCTTAAAAGTCATTACATTTACACTTGCTATCCACGCTAGAGGAGCAGGTAACTGTTCTTTCCTAGAACTCTGGTGTTCTGTGTTAAGCAGTGATACAGGTCACTGATTTTTTTTTGTTTAAACGTGAACATGATCCAAATTTTTTCCCTTGAGAAGAACATTCCTTTATCTGGAAAGTAACTACTATGAAGAACATCTTTCAGTTTTTCCTCCCTCTCTGATTCTATAAATTGAATGGGGAGATAACAGTGGTATATAGATAAGGGCTTATATGTTACAGCTGCAAAAAAACAACAGTATAAAACTCTACATACACATTATGTGGGAACAGAAAATTGCCTGGCAAGAGATTTCAAAGTACAAATATACTGATTTCTCAGAGTTGTTTCAGTACACATAAACTGTATTGCAAACCAGAGTGAAAATCCTAACTCAGCTGAAGTTGTCCTTTCTGTCCCCTCAGGATACATCAACTAGGGATTTTCTTAGCTGAAGCTACTGCAGGTTAGTAGTTGTGGGGAGCCTTTGTGCTCCCTTCCTTATGGGGGAAGGACTTTCATAGCAAACAGTTATCCCCAGGCCTACTCACGCTCTTCTCCCATCTGCTTCATGTGGCTGAACATGAGTAGATGGATCACATTCAACCTTATAAGCAACGGTACATGGGAGACAGCATGGCCTTAGGGCAGGGGCTTTATGCGGTAGACAGCATTTTAACAGAAAGATGAATTGCAGTTGCACACACTGATGTGGACTGGCTAGTCTCCAATTTATATTTCCAGGTGGCATCTACAGTAATTGCTTCTGTGGAAAAGTAGGAGAGGATTACTTCTATTTTCAGCTGCCTTTTAATGTGCGCTGGCAGCTGGAAATAAGAAGGGGAGATAGTACCACTGCCCTGGCCAGTGATCAGTGGATCAGAGCTTGGGAAATACTACTGTATTGGATTAGGCATGTGACTAGGAATTGGTGTATGAAGATTCTTGTTCCAGCTGTACTGTTAACTCATGTGCTTCAGGGTACTTAACTTTTTTTTGGTGTTAGCTTTCTTACTTGCTATATAAAGATAATTTGTCTTTTCTTTTCCTCACAGGGATGCTGAAAAGATTAGGAAACAACTGTGGGATACTTTGGATATTTAATGTTCTCTGTTATTCTAACTTATTAATAAGTACAGTTGGTTCTGGTTACTGTGTTAAGTCCAGAATGTGTGGAGCCTGTGCATATTCTGGCACCACAACTAGTGCATTTTGGTGCCCAAGCTGCAGCTGTTGTCTTTTCTAAATCATAATAATTTTTACCTAGCTTCATGCACTACTATGGACTACTTGTTTAGGCAATGCAAGTCGGCATTTACCCACATCGCAGGGTTAGCATAACATTGATTAAACCCTCACACTGTCTTGCTACCTTTTTCTATATTATTTTCCACAGATGTTATGCATTTTTTATATATCTTACAGCTTCCAAATATGAATGCCTGTCAGTTCAATCTCAGATCCTTACATGTCTCTCCTGTTTAGTCCCATTTCCCAAAATAGATAGCTATCAGATAATTGCATGCACAGAAAGAGCTTTCCTGTATAATAACCAGTCTCTTCCTTCTGTCTCTTCAGACTAAAATGTTAGGTCACAGCCTCTTTGGAATCATTCCCATTCCCATAGCAATAAAAAACAGCATCACACAAGTGGCTGATAAAAAAAGGTTTCATGAAACAAAGGAAGACAAAGGTTATGGATGAAATCTCTCCCATCCCTACTACTTGTTTTAGGATCGATTGATTGTATTGTGGTGTCAGCTATAACTGCTACAGAAATGTGCAACATACGCATTGCAAGATCCTACAGTAGGAATTAACTCACCTTACTATATCTCACATTTATTTCTTGTACAATTAGGTGCCTAGGAGGAAAAGAGCAATAACAGAGAATAAAAACTCATCTAAACACAATGAATATGTACTTGGGAGCTAAAGGTGACATCATAGTTTCATGCAACAGTCTTAGAGTTTTTGCTTTTAGTATCTTAGGATACATCCAAAATCAGGATGATGGGGAGGACCACCTCTAAGGGAATGAATATGTGTATATCCTCCAACCTAGTCTACAATTGGTTATGTCTCTTTTCTCATGAGAACCCTGGTACTGGGAAAACAGGTGAGTGTGAGTATGTTGGAACAGAGGTCAAATGATAGGGCTGTGGGCAGGGAGGTGAGCTGGAGGAATTGTTCAGTTTGCTATTCAGATTTATGACAGTTGTTGCCAGCAGGTGAATGCCCCCAGAAAGTTTAGGACTTGGGAGAGCATGGCCAGCTATCTTGGGGGCAGCAGATAGAAACCCCTGAAAAATTTGGAGAGCTGAGGTGTGTGGCCAGCTGAGCTGGTGCTGGCAGGTGGATGCCCATGGAAAAATCAGGGCTAAGGGTGATGTGGCCAGCTGACCTGGGCTCACTTCAGAGTGGAGGACACACCTGACCAAACTCAAACCCAGCCTGAATGACAGTGAGGTGTGCTACACGATCCACAGCCAGGTGTACCCCCATCTCCACTCTCATAGGCAGATCCTTACCCACCTGCTGACATCGAAAGCCACCTGCAGACACTCAGCCCCAGGGGTGTCCCTGACCACCAGGGCTAAGCCCAGCCCTTCTTTTTCCACTACCTGCAGCTGGGGACAGAACTGGGCTCTTGAGGAGACGAAGTATCTCATTGCCTTCTGGGGTGAGGAGGAGACTGAGGAGCAGTTCCACAGTGTGCACTGCAACAAAGAGATGTTCCTTGGGTTGCTGAAGAGATGTAAGAGGAGGGCTGCAGCTGGGACTGGAGGCAGTGCGGGGGCAAAACCAAATTGATGAAGACCCAGTTCAAACAGCCTTGTGATTCCAACCAGACCTCCAGAGGCACACGGTACACTACACTCTTCTGAGGAGCTGCCCCACTTTCTCTCAAGCAGTAAGGGGGCCTGAACCCCACATACCTATGCCACCACAGGAGGCTCCCAGCAGCAGGTGGAGCAGGAGGGCCCTGGGGAGACAGGAGGACTGGGTGTGCAGAAGCAGCTCCTTGTCGACAGAGGAGAAGCAGGGGTGTGGGTGCTGGTGCTGGTCTCTAAGGACAAAGGGGAAGCAGGAGCACAGGTGCAGCTGGAGCTGGAATACTGCTCACTTAACTTTTTCCCAGGTAGTGGGGCTCTGGGCACAGAGGGGCAGGACCTGGCAGACACCTCTGGCAGAACAATGATTGAAGGGCAGGATGTGGACATGCCATCTACCTTGCAAGCAGCCCTGGAATGGGCACCTGGTCTCTGATGGACCTTGACCCCTCTGAATGTGAGGGGAAGCCACATGCCTGGAGATGCCATTTCCCATGTTGGGGCCAAGGGTGTTCAGGTCCCTTTCCTCCCACAGCTCTTCAGAGGCCCTGCCACTGATACAGAGATCGCCTGCCAGTCCTCTTGGTCCCAGCACAAGGAATTGAAGAGCACCCAGTCCCCTCCCATCCCCAGCCTGGAGGTCCAAAGAGCACTCAGGGGGATCCTAATAGTGCCCACCCTTCATTCTGATCCTGGTACTGATCCTGATAATCCCAAGGCAGAGCCTACTGCACAGTCAGCACTGCACCACCTGGGCAGGATGGGGACCCAGGTGCAGAGGGAATCCCATTCCTCTCCCCCTCACTCCCCTCCCCAAGGCAGTGACCAAGCATGGTGTACATGCATGGATAGGAGTGTGGGGTGGTAGCAGGACATTGGGGTCCTACAACTGTCCAAGACTGTCATCTGAAGGCACTTCTGGTGCCCCTCCCCACCCTCCACACCTCAGGGTAGCAAGTGGCTCCTAATGTGTATCGCTTTGACATTCAAAGGGAATGTCTTGTACATGGAGAGAGTGGGGTGGGGGTTGGTATGATGCTTCCAGCCTGGTTGGATAAGGCTCATGGCCAAGGAAACTAATTGCTCTGTTATTCACTCAACACCGACCAGATTTCCTGACACCCCCAACCCATTTCTGACATGAGCCAGAGGTGCAGCCCGTGACCTTGGGCTTTTCACACTTCATCAGTTAATAAGTATTAATATAGGTCTGGCTTAGTCACGCCCCCTGCCTATCCCTGCAGGCCATCCTCTGTTGCTGAAAAGAGCTGACCCCTCCCCAAATGATGGAACAACACCTGCCTCACCCTGCTTCCTCATCCACCACAGCAGGAACCATGGCCTTCCCCCCTCAAACTACAGCAAGGGTCATAACCCTTCCCCCCCACAACTTCCTGTGCAACCTGCTGTTGGTTGTTTTCTCATTGGTCCTTAATTACAGAGCTGGTTCAAGCACCCACCAAACCTAGTATCCCCTACTGCAGCCTGTGAAAAATCATCCAAAGGAGTTATTTAATCAGCAGGAAAAGACTAAGAAGCAGTGGCAGGTGTTGTGATTTTGTGAGCTGTACTGTGCCTCACCATACGGATGGGTGGCAAATAAGAAGTTCAAATCAGGGATCTGTGAAAACACAGAACAATAGGAACTGGTGCTTTACATTGCATTAGGGACCAGGAACTGCAGACATAATATTACATCAAGGACTAGAAAGGTTTTTCCCCTTGTTCCCTTGCTCACCAGTACAGGCACTGTTGGGAAGGCAGGAGTCCCAAGCAAGAAAGCAAGCGCAGCTGCCAGTGGGTGATGGAGTGAGGGCTGTTCTCAGGTCAATGTCCTGGAGATGTTTGCAGAAGTCACTTGACTGGCTTATTCCCAAGTCTATGGCTGCAAGGCAGCTCCAAGTGTCGCAGCAGAAGCAGTCACTGCACCAAATACTCAACACCCCATGCAGCCCTGGTCTTTTCCCAGAAAGTGTCCCCCTCTTCTATTCCCCAGGAGAGCACATACCAACCTGCCCCATGGTGGTCTGGCATCCCCCACTGTTGTGTCTGGGCACACTAGTGACAGCAAGGACCACAAAGAGCCCAGCACAGCCCAGGGTGGGGAGAGGCCAGAGCCAGACAGCTTCTTTTCCATTCCTTCTCGTCTATAAGCATAAGAACCAAGCATTGCTTGGACAGTGGGCAGGTCTATACTCAGGTGCTATTAGGTGGGTGGAAAATGCACTTGGCCTGGTTCTCAGAAGACAAGTGCTGCATCAATAGTTGTTGCAATGGATGAGGCCTCCTGATTCTCAGGTCAGCATGTTGGAGCCAGAGATAACACTTGAGCCTGATTCTCATGTTGAATGGTATCACCTGGCTTTCAGCCATGCCATCAAAGCATGCAATACCATTCCAGGACTGGAACACCTTTTTAGGGGCATCTCCTGCAGAAGGAGCAGGGTGTAGAGAGACCCCCCCCCCCTTCCCCTGAGCACAGTAATAATTCTCCTGCCTCTGGTCCCAAGAGAATTTCACCATGGAGAGATTAGGAAGAAAGTACTGCTTTTGCATTGACAGGGAGGGTTGGGGAGCTCTGCCTATGTCCCATGAGTGGGTAATCTCTATGTGTTCCCGGGAAACCTGGAATCCTGGCATGACCCTGTATTGCTGGGGCCACAGGGTGAAAGGAGCAAGTGCCTGCTTGAGTCTCTCAGGACGGTCCCATCCTGAGAGCTAGGCAGACTGGTTCCTCTACCCAAGGCTGGGGTACAACCATTCAGAGCTTCAAACCCCCCAGTGTCCTCAGGCCTTACTCTTCCAGAGACTGCCCCCCACCATCCTGGCAGTCCAGGAGATAATCTTCCAGGGCTTCCCTGACTGGAACTCCCTGCCAGTTGGTCTGTCTTCGGTGCACATGTTCTGGCAGGGGCACACTGTGGCTTGCTTCCCAGCACCATGATTTCTCTGCCCAGACCTCCCTACACAGCACCTTCCTACAGCACCTTGGAGTCAGCGGAGTCCGGGAAGGCTTCAGCTTCGTTAACCAGGTGGAAATAATGGGCCAACTCTAGGGCACTTGGTAGCCATAGGGTAGGTGGTAAGTGGCCCCACTAGACTTCTGGGTCCAAGGCAGGAAGGCAAGTGCCAGCATGAACACCTGCTGAGTCAGTTGCAGATGGGCATATATAATGTCCCACAGCCTCTGGCTGGAGTCATGCAGGGTGACAAGAAGGGCGCAGTGCAACTCCTGAGTCTGTGGGCTTGTATGCAAAGGGAGCCATGTTGGAATCTAGGCAGGAAAACTGACACACTTACAATTAACAAGAGTGGGGATTTGCTCTGGGTCTCTTCTGGAAGCCTCTGGGCAGGGCAGGAGAGAGGGGTCACTGTAATGGGGAATTCTCCAGTGGGGCATGGTTTCCTGTGGTGGCCACCCAGTCAGGACTGTCCTACATGCTTGGCTGTGTTTGGTAATCTCTGGGAGCCTGCAGGGCATGCTGAGACTTGTGCTGAGGGCCCCCCTTTTGGTGGGCCATGGCTAGTGCAGGCTATCTGTGCAGCTTCTCCCTTGAACATTGGATACTTGCATGGTGCTCTATTGCTAGGAGTTTAGGCAGCTCAAACAAAATTGTGCAACCTAGGCTGGTTCATTTGAATGCTTGCACACACTCTTTATTGAATAAAATACATTTTTGCTCACTATAGCTGGCACTGCATAGCAGAACATAATTGTGGGCTTGAACTAGATTGTTTTTGGTTTGTAGAAGATTAATACAATTGTTGACCAAATTCCAATTGTAGAGGAGAATCCCGCCCACAGGTAAATTGTTCAGAATAGTTTAAAACT